GGTACCTGTCCCACACCGACAACCGGTGCATTCATTCCGTGTTGATCGGCACTCTGGAGCGTAAATGTGTGGGCATAGGCGGGCACTCCCATCACTATCTTATTTTTAGGCATCCCTTTGTTGACATAGAATTCTACAGCACTTACGCAGCCATCGAAACTCGTGTGGTGTCCAGTGGTTGAGCTCCAAGTCGCTGCCACAAAGTCGTATGTCATGACACTCATGTAGTCTAGTGCTCTGGTATGTTATAAGCAAATAAGTCCTTTAAATATACTTAGCTCTGTTTAATTGTAGTTACCAATTATATAAGTAATTAAATAATTAATAACTACTAATATAATTGAATATAATAATAATTGAATATAATAAATATAAATATAATTGATTTTAGATTTTAAATTATATTAAATCTGTGAATATTTTGAGATGATTGACAAGTTAAAGTTGATCCTGAACTAATTAAACTGTAATCATATTACTGTTGCCATATGTTTTTCTTAATTAATAATTCAATGTTAGGCTTATTGTAAAGTAAGTACTCGAAGGCATAAGACTATATTCTTAACACTATTTGTTTCTAACAGTTAATCAAATAGCTTTTATTTAAATTGATCTTGTTATTTTTGTGTTATATGATAAATTACTTTGTCTGGCTATTTATAAATCACCACAATTTTGTACTAAATTGTATTATATTAGATATAATTTTAAAATGACACCTAATGATGCCTAAACTTAGTAAATTGCCAACGTTTTATATTTACGTTTAAAATATAGTACAGTTACTATTATGCATAATATTTATTATTATTATTATTATTAACACTACTTACGCAGCCATAGTCGGCATATCGTAAGCCACGTCACCGGGTCCGCCCGAATAGCCCGAGGGTATGGCCGCCGATAGTAAAAGTCGTGGTTTGTTGTTATTGAACGCGGCTCTAAATTCCTGCAAAATGTGTTTGATACAATTTACATGACTAAAATTACATAGCTAAATAATTTTTTAAATAATCCTAAATTATTATCCTACCGTCAACAATTTACCATAATTGTCCACGTCACTTTGGGGCCCTAGACTACAGTCGTAGTACCAGCAATGGGGGTACTCCCAGGCGAGATCCAGGCCATCGAAGTTGTATTTTTTCAAATAGGCGATCGTATTCTTGATGAACCCCACCCTAAGAGTCGGACTAGTGATCATCGCCGAAAATGGTGGGCACGCCTGGGCACCCCCGCCCACCGCCAGTATGAGCTTAACTTGCTTGTTTTTCTGCCTCAGCTTATTTAGCCGCTCGTATAGCTTGGGTCGGGGCCCACCCCCTGCCGACTCCATTACTGTGTTGGTCTTGTTGTCCAGTATGTGAAACGCGTAGTGAATATGCGTGCAAAGGGTGGGGTCGATGTTTTCCGGGAGATGTTTGTCGGGGTCGGCCAAGGTCATCCGGTAGTTGACCCAGTAGCATATGACACGTTTGCTGTGGGATTGTAGCGCCTGTAGCCATAATACGGAGACTAATAATAAAAGTTTCATTTATTTTTTTTATGCACTATGACGGTAACCGTTTAATTATTTTTGTGAAATTTTGAGTAATTAAAAATCAATTAAGATAAAATTTTAACTGGACTTTTATCGAGCTAGATTAGGTAAATAGTTTGCCAATTAAATGTGCTTGTACCAGTATTGAATGTGCGTTTGTGTGCACTGTTAATAATGTTTTTGTTTACTATGTTACATTACTAATTTTAATGTAATAATATATTTTTTACTAAAAATGATTGATAGGATAATTGGGTT